GAGAAACACACACACACACACACACACACACACACACACACACACACACACAGAATCCATAATCCCTCTGTGAGAAACTCTCTTTGATTACAGCCAGCAGAAACATTCACACAAACAGGAACAATCTGAAAAGCTATCAGAGAAAAGAAGTAGAAAGAGAGGGAAAGCACTGATAAAGTAGAGAGGACTTAGGAGTATTTCCTCTGTAGCTGCTCCGAGGGGAGGAGATGAGAGCCAGATCTGCCCTGAGAGGAATAATCTTTACAGAATGAAGATTAACCTCTGATTTCTAAGAGGCAATGATGGAGAAAACCAAGAGCCATGGAAGAGGCAGCCAACAGTTGTGGGCACGATGTCAACTGGAAAAAGGTAGACACAAAAAGAATGGCAGGAATAAAGCGCAGGGATCCGTTTAGTGCACAGATGAAGACGGATAGAGATTACTAATGTAAGCAGATCAAGAAAGGAGCAAAATTGACAAAAATGTGGTGATTAACTTGCATGACAAATCGAAAATGATATGATAATCCAAAAATGAATATTTCCACATTATTTTTTCATCTCTTGTTTGCATGAAGCTAGCTGAATGAACTCTTGAGCTTTAGTGTAGGTTTAAAGTTGACAAAATCAAACAGGTCCCAATCTTGTTTATGTCAGGCTTCACAATGATTGATTCTCGATCAGCTCAGGATTGATCTGGAGTTTATGATTTACCAGATGTTGTTTTCTTGAAAGCATGTTACATGCAGCAAACAAGCAATCACATAGCAAGCATTTAAATGACTCCTTGCGATAGAACCAATGTGGCATCCACAAAACCAAAAACGAATCATTTTTACTGACAAAATTCTTAATACTAAAATCCAACAAACACTATTTAAACTTTGGATCTCCAGTATGTTCACTATGTTACATAACTGATCCCTGCTGGTCATGTCTTTCTTGTGTTAGTCCATTTTGTATGGTACCGCGCAAAACTGCAGAATTGCGTGTGGTCACGTTCATTCACCCGCACATCTCACTTACAACATTTGTACTTAATGTCTTTGGATAACGGGTGATCATTTCTTCCAATTAGAACTGATTAATTTGAAATAATAGTCTCTGATTTGCCATTTAGAAAGATAGATAGTAGAAAGACAGATAGTAATAAAACCGTTTCATTGTTTTCGACCATTTTTTGTAGTACCGAACAACACTGCAGCATTGAATGTGGTCACGTTCATTCACTCACGCATTCTTAGTCCCTACTTGTAAACAACTAGTGTCTTTGGATGACGGGTGATCATTTGTTCCAATTACAACTGATTAATTTGCTAGAATAGTCTCTTAATTTGTCATATGGGCTTGAGTGGAGTATTTTGAAGCTAATTATGGATTTTGTAGTATTAGAAATGAATTGCATTGAGGTCTATTTAGAACGATGTAGACTGATAGTCATAAAAACATTTTATTGTGACCATTTTGTGTGGTACGGTGCAACACTGCAGCATTGCATGTGATCACGTTCATTCACTCGTGCATTCTCAGGGACCACAGATGTACTTCAGATGTAAACAATTAGTGTCTTTGGATAATGGGTGATCATTTCTTCCATTTAGAACTGATTATTTTGCTAGAATAGTCTCTGATTTGTCATATGAGCTTGTGTTGTGTACTTCGAAGCTGTTTAATTATAGATTTTGGAGCATTAGAAATTATTTACATTGAGCTTCATTCAGAAAGATGGTGACAGAGTTATAAAAGCATAATTTGTTGTCTGTGGTTGTCTTGAGGGCATCTAAACTACCCAAACCTGGCAGCTGGATCATCAAAAATGGGTACGCTCAAACATATTTCCTCCAAAAGTGTCATTTCTCTTTACTAAGGAACGATACTGGATAGACAGGGAGTGAGAAATATTTAAAACTTATTTTCAAAAATGCCTAAAATTTCAACTAGAGCCAAACTGATACCTGATTGAGGACACTGAAAACACACACATACAAAAAAACACAACTATAAACAAAAACTTGGCCTTGAAATTCAAGATTCACAGTGTGATGATGTCCATCCAGCTTTGCCCTCTCCTGAAAAACAGCCTTCATTTAGTCAGCCCACATTCCAAAATATGTCTGAAGTCAAACATTAGGAACGTGTGCAGTACTGTATGTGTGTGTTGGAGAGAGAGAGAAAAGAGATCCAGTGAAGACGGTGTGTTTGTGTTTGCCATGTTTTCAGACCAGCAGTGCACAGAGAATGTTCATCTGGCATGGAGAGGAGTTCTCATGGCTGGCAACTTTATAAATGTGTGTATGTGTGTGTGTGAAGCGGATTTCAGACTGAAAGTGAAGAGGCATTTTCATTGCTCTCCAAAACTACTGGAGCGACACTGCATAGTCTGACGGATAAATTTAAAATGGTGAGGAGAATGAGGGAGGGGAAAGAGATATAAAAGAGAGAGAGAGAGAGAAAGGCTACTCTTCAGGATAGAAACGTGCTTTCAATCACAAATGCGTTCATTCTTTGCCGTTTCTAGTTATCTTTTGCTTTCCTTCCATTTCTCTATATGAAAAAAGCTTTTCATGAAATTATTATTAATCTGCAACTATGAATTCCAAAAATGCATTAGAAACTTATAGTAATGTAACTCTCAATTTAATTAGTAGATTTAGATTTACAAAAAAAGCATTAACATTGGATTTAAATTGATAGTTCATTCCAAAAAAATTTTTCTGTCATCTTTTCCGACACCCTTCTCTTATTTCACACCTGTTGAACATAGAATAACATATTTTAAAAAATATTGGAAAACAATAGCCACTGACATATTGAAATACTATGGAATGGCTTTGAGATATGGGATACTCTATGTCTGCTGTATTATCACAGAGCTCTCATGTTTTCAAAATAAGGGTCTCACATACATGGGAAATATATTGAGCTGTGTTACATTAAGAACATAAAAAGGGCACTGTTGTTTTCCTAAAAGGACATTTTCTGGCCAATCAAACGCTGCTGGGGGCGTGCATAATAATAATCCAGAGTATTACAGTACATAACAGTTGGCATTATGATCTGATTTAAGTGTTTTCTGTGATCTTTTGCTTAAACAAGATCTATTTAAAGAGTAAAAAATCATGTTTGAGGCTCACAATGTCATTTCCTTGTACTGAAATCTTATTATTCAACTATGCGAAATTTTGTCCATCATTTTCTATGGTAAGTGTTGTTTTTTTGCCGAAAATTGTTTCTACATATTAATTTTTCAAAATCAATTTACAATAAAAAAGTATACAAAATAAAAATAATTATCTGAAATAGTTTACCATAAAAACAAACAATAGCATGAGGAAATGTAATAGTCAACCCAAAACTGATCTAATCTGATGTTCTATTTTACAAGCAATTCAACTTATAAAATGCACTAAAACTAATTCTAAATGGAAACACACAGCAAAACAATGCTGATCAGGGGTGCGTTTCTGAAAACCATCGTTAGCCAACTAAGGTCGCAAGTCGATACAAACATAATTCGTTGATTTGGCGTTTCCCAAATCTATCGTTCCAATGAACATTCACAAATTGTGTCGCAAACTTGTACACTTGCAACTACACCTCCAGAGCTGTAGTTAAGAACATAGTTCCTGGTTGTGTTCTATTCCCAGTTATCTTCCCTATGACCTATTCAGTTGAAACATTCCAACATTAAAACTTGGAATGATTTGAAAAAAAATAAAATAAAAAAACATTAAAGTCATCTTTCTTACATGTAACAGTTCAGTTTTAGCAATATTCATATTGACAATTGCATAAACAAATAACATTTTAAATGCAGCCGTGGCTCATAAAGAAAACTATAGATGACCTATTATTTAAAAGCGGAATTTACGTTACATCTCCAAAACTTGTGAAAACAAAAGTATATAGCATATGTTAATGCTTTTAATTTATTATAGGTTATTTTTTAAGAATTGTAGCCTACTGACATGGCCTGTTGGGTAGAAAATTTCTTGTAAAAGTAGGCTTTTCAAAATATAAAATAAATACACAATATACTACTTAATAATAATAAAAAATACTACTACTACTACTAATAATAATAAATTAATAACTATAAATTAATAATAAAATACTACTACTACTATTACTATTTTTTTTTTAATTTCCCAATAAATAGCCTACTGTAAATTACAACCATTAACAGTTTATACAATTCATATATGAGATTAGAATACATGTTAGCTTTCTGTAAGTGGTTTTATGTTTTAGAATAGAATATGGAAAATTCATAATGTTTTACATATTTCAGTTAATATGGAGAGTGCATGTTTTAACCAAAACTAGCCTAATATTGGATAAAAAAAATGTGTGTTCACATAAAACAATAGAATTTGCACAAAAATTATGTTTTTTTTTTCTCTAAAGAAGTGGTTACTCCACCCCGTTTAGAGCGGTGGTCACCAAACTTGTTCCTCGAGGGCCGGTGTCCTGGAGATTTTAGCTCCAACCTTAATCAAACACACCTGAACAAGCTAATCAGGGTCTTACTTGGTATACTTAAAACATCCAGGCAGGTGTGTTGAGGCAAGTTGGAGCTAAATCCTGCAGGGACACCGGCCCTCCAGGACCGAGGTTGGTGACCCCTGGTTTAGAGCTTCATTATGGACGTTTTATGTTCACTAACATGGCTCAATAACTAACATGGTTCAAATTATGGATTTGAGACAAAGCAACTACGGTTTTGGGAAACACTCCTCACTACATCGTTCTTTTTCCCAAACGATGCATTGTACTATGATAGTTCAGCCCTTAGTTATGTTGTTGTTTGGGAAACGCACCCATGATCTGTTCTGACATGTTTAAAGAAAAAAAGTGTGTAAAACGTCAAAATCAAAACCTCAAATTGGCTTGGAACACGAAAAGCACTTGCTTTATAAAAATATGTGCGATGCATTTGATTAGTCATATAATCCACATCATACATGCCCTGCTATTAAAAAAACAATAGGACACATTTAGAAGTTGCTTGGGTTTTGAACGTTTTATTTTTAACGCAAATCAGGAGCTCAAACCTGATTCCTGTGAATGACACAACAAAAACCGATAACGAACATCACGCAAAAACACAACTAAGATGTGACTAGAGCAATGTAGAGTGTGATGGTGGGTTAGCAGGATGGATCACAGGTAGACGATTGGATAAGTGACGCTACAGTAACTAACCAACTCTAGAACCACCTTAATGGATGGGTCTAGTGTGAGCTATATTTGGTGTCTAGTTCGCCTTTTTTTCTCTGTGTGCTATCATTTGTGAACCAAAAATAGCGTGTGTTTTCTGGTTCGGGTGCTCAGAACGCTCGAGTTCAACCTACGATCGCCACTGCTAATGGATTCTGTTCTTTTCCCTTTTACTGTGTAACAGGAAGGAGGAAAGTGGAGGGGGAAAGGTATAGGAAAGCAAAGGAAGGTTCAAGGGTTTATCTCTCAATTCACTGCAGATTCTGCCCAGGTGTGTCTCCGGGTGGCGTCTTTCATTGGCAACAGTCGATAAACGGTGAGATCACAGATACAAACAGGTCTTCCTCTTTTCCTGCTCTGTGACTTAACCTCCAGTCCTCAACTTCTCCTAGAGAAATGACACAGAGACAAAATGTGTGTTACTGTAGGGGGAAAAAAGAGAGCATTTCCACAGCATCTGCAAGCAAAATATGCAAGGAAGGGAGAGAATGCATGGGAGCATATTCTTGAACCGCACGGAAAACCACGGTGAAAACAAAAAGCCCCAATACAATCAAACGTAAACATGCGGCTCTTTCTTCCTGTCAATACGCATCCCTCTCAGACTACTGCACCCGATAACAGGAAATAAGAATCCCTGGAGTGAGAGAAGAAGGAGAGATGGAGAGAGAGAAAGAGTATAGCAAAGAAGGTGAGGTGGAGATAATAGATGGGCGTCACGGTCTGTCGTGAAGACTGTAAAAAAAAACGAAGGAGGAATGGAGAGGTTTGGAGGGGCAACAAAACAGATGTGTCCTTGTTTGAACTCACATTCTTATCAAGATAAATTGCAGTAGCAACACTTTATGTGTAATCTGACACAGCTCAGAGTGAAATTGAATATTTAGGATTTGTTAAGAGTGCAAGTGAGGTGCACTCAGAACTTTAAAGTGATAATACATCCCATATCATGTTCCCACGTGAAAACAAAAAAGATGTTTTGCACAATGTTCATGCTGCTCCTTTCCATACAATAAAAGTGGATGGTGGCTAATTTTCAAGCTCCTAAAAATGCTGTGTAGTAGTCTATGTGACTGATGCATTCATGTCATGCCATAATTAAGAAAAAATCTAATAAAACACCCAAAATCTACACACTTTTTAAAATGAAGACCACTAAGTCTTATTAAAGTTTGCATAGATATGTTAATGTTTATCTTTTTTTGGGGGGTTATTGTGTGTCTTCACTATAAATGTATAAATTCTAAATATATATCGCATCAATATCGCATATTAATGATTGAAAATATAAATATCAACATTTTTGAATTGTTTGTTTTATTTCGGCTAGAATAAAAGCAGTTTTTAAGTTTTTTTTAAACACCATTTTAAGGACAAAATTATTAGCCCCTTTAAGCTAATTTTTTTTCAATAGTCTACAGAAAAAAACATCATAATACAATAACTTGCCTAAATACCCTAACATGTTAACAGTTAAGCCTATAAATGTCACTTTAAGCTGTATAGAAGTATCTTGAAAAATATCTAGTCAAATATTATTTTCATCATGGCAAAGATAAAATAAATCAGTTACTAGAAATGAGTTATTAAAACTATTATGATTAGAAATGTGTTGAAAAAAAATTTCTCCCCGTTAAACAGAAATGGGGAACAAAAATAAACATGGGGGTTAATAATTCAGGGGGTTTAATAATTCTGACTTCAACTATAAAAAAAGTTTCAATTAAAGCACTATACTAAAACTAATAATTTAAAAATATGAAAAGTTTCATAAACTAATTTCGAGAGGAGCACGTGATATGATTGATCACAGCTGGTCCCTCATCTGTAATCATTAGTAAGCCAATAGGATCATTTCAAACTCACTATAAATAGCCCAACTAGCATTACTCCCTCATCTTCGTTTTTGAAGAATCCCGCCATGCACCCCATCTGCCCCTTTCCTCCTTTACTAGGGGGAGCTCTCGAGAACTACCTGATCTCGTACCCCCTAACATGCTCATTGACCAGTCAGGAGGCCTGGGCTCAGTTATCTCCGAGCTCAGGATTCTCTCCCAGGACAGCATTCCAAACCTGCTATTATAATCAAGCAATATCTAAGTGTGAACTCTTGAAATATATTTATATTTAAAGTGAAAACGTAAAAATATGACAAATAAGCAAAACAAAACCAAAATGAAAAAAAGGCCTAAAACATAAATAATTTAGTAGAATTCATAAACAATCATACAATAAAAATTTCCAGATGGTTTTTGTCAACTTTAATTGCATTGAAAAGACCAAAGAAAACACAATAAATTGAGTTAATTAAATTTGTGAGCTACAGAAGTAAATCGTACAACTTGCAATAACAAAGTTCAAAAAATCCCTTCAAAGCTCAACAAAAAAAACAACACATTTCTGTACCGCTCAAACACACTGAGCACGCTCTATACCAGCACGCTTTCCTAATGCTGCAAATAACCGGAAAGTTCTAGAGTAGACACAACCACTCGAACAGGTGGTGACATTTGTCCCAAACCTCTGAAGGACACAAGTTTGAGCCGCTGAAAAATACGCCTCGGCACAAACAGATGCTGCAGTCCAAAACTCATACACAGAAAGACTGGACAACAGTTGAGAGAAAAAAAGAGAGAGAGAGAGAGAGTCTGACCACGCGTTAAGAATAAGAAAGAGCGAATGAGAGATTGTGGGTGATAAAGTAGTATTCATGGTGCTTTGAGAGGAAGAGGGTGTTTTGCTTTATCTCTGGGCTCAGGGCACTATCGGCTCTGGGCTGTACCGCAGTCAACGCTTTACAAAGTGATGGAAGGAGGAGAAGAAGGTCACAGCCAAAATATTATCAGTCCAAGGAGATAAAACCATGGAGTAATTACGTTCACAAAGCCACCGCCATGACCGATCACTGTCGTTAGCCTCTCCGCTAGTCAGGCCGCATCGGGGGAATTCATTCCTGTTCAGCTCTTTAGCTATGTTGACCACTGATTAGAGACATCTTATCTAGATTCTTTCAATAAGACTTGTTTATACAAATATACAGTGTTATCCGGCCCTTGTTCGCTCAGAATGTATCCTGAGGGACTTCCAGATCCAGACAGACAAAGCAGGGACTGGACAACATATCAGACACGGAGATCTGGAGTGGTGATAGATGGCAGTCAGAATGATGGGGATTGGGGGAGAACCTACTACTGTATGTGTGGTGATCACTTAAACTAACATTGTCTTTTTATTGCAAATGTATTTGTTAATAACTTGTTAGACTATTAGTCAAATCAGATGGCAAGAAGGAAATGTAAAAAAACTCACATTCTTAAGAATAAACAAAAGATCAAGTTAAAAGCCAAGACATTAAACATGAGCATATAACTTATAGTTGCATATTGTAGTTCCTCTATGCAGTTCATTAAAGTTCAGTATTATAATGTTTCCCTGTGTAATTTGTACATACTTTACTATTATATATATATATATATATATATATATATATATATATATATAATTTTATTTTTATTTTATTTATTTTTAATTTTTTTTGCAATTTGCTAATCATTTTAGATTATCATTTGATGCACAATATTAAATCTGCATCCAAAAATCAGTGGAAAAACACTGCCTTAAGATCTAGCAGAGTTGCCTGAACCGTTTTTCAGCTTTAGCAATACTGCTGCAGTATATCACTGCTGAATCTACAGCTCAGAGAAATTATATTTTAGAGGAGTTTTGAGTATAAAGTATGAATTGAATGTAGAGATAAAAAGACTGGGTTCTGATATGAATACAATATATACAAAAACTTATTTTTTGTTGGGAAGAATATTGGGTAGTACATTATGAAAGCAAAACAAAAACAACAAAGAAAAAATGAGGAATGGAAAGTTTTCTTATGAAAAATGAAAACTAACCAAATCCAGAAAAAAAAAACTACAAAAAAGGAAACAAATCCCACACTGTAAAAAAAGATCTTATTGTTTTAAATTGTTGAGCTGAATCAAATAAAATGTTTTAGTCATCTCAACTTAAATTAGTCAAACTGACTAAAATAGCAGACATTGGTTCTCATGACTTTGTCATATTTTTGACAGTGCAAGTTTTCTGAAGTAATTTGAAAAAACACAAAAACAAAGTATAAAATAAAAAAAAATGGCAAGTTTTCTGAAGTAATAATAACAATAATAAAAATAATGTTTCCCAGAGTTGCGGCTGGAAGGGCATCCTCTGCGTAAAAATGTGCTGGATAAGTTGGCGGTTTATTCCGTTGTGGTGACCTCAGATTAATAAAGGGACTAAGCTAAAAAAAAAAAAAATTAATGAATGAATGAAATGAATAACAACAACAACAACAACAACAACAACAACAACAGTAATAATAATAATTATAATTATTATTTAAAACAAGCCAAAACAAAAATCTGTAACACCAGAACAAGAACAAAAACAAAAATGTCAAGATAAAGAAGAAGAAACTGATAAAGTATTGGTTTAAGAAAAAAAAAGAAAAAAAAAAGAACTGGAACCAAAAACAAAAATAACATATATATATATATATATATATATATATATATATATATATATATATATATATATATATATATATATATATATATAACAATAAACAAAACAAAAATCAACAAAACCAGACAAAAAAACTAAATGTAAAATTTTTTCTGAAGTAAAAAAAAAAAAAAAAAAAAAAATCAACAAAATTACAAAGCAAAAATCAACAAAACATAAATACAAAAAACAATGAACAACAAATATTCCAGCAACAAAACCAAAACAATAGTATTCTAAAAAAATGAATTAGAAAATTTAATCTTCAGAAATAAAATAAAAATAAACAAAACACAAAAAAATCTAAAAAAAAAAAAAACAGACTAAATACAAGAAGTCTTGTGAAAAAAACAAATATAAACAAAATCACAAAACAAAACCCAACAAAACAAAACCAAAAAATACATTTACAAGTCTTCAGAAGTAAAACAAAAAATAAACAAAATCACAAAACAAAAATCAACAAAACATGAACACCAATATGCCAAGTATTCTAAAATTCATAAGAAAAATTTTAATCTTCAAAAATAAAATTTAAATAAACTAAACAAAAAAAAACTAAACTGAAACAAAGACAAAAATAAGTCTTCTGAAATCAAATGAAAATAAACAAAAGACAAGAAAAGAAAATTCAACTAAACCAGACTAATAATTCAATGTAGAAGTGTATATTTTCAAGCCATTTTAACTTAAACTAATCAAACTGACTAAAATAGTAGACATTTGCTCTCTAGAGTCATATTTTTGTAAGTGCAACTTTTCTGAAGTAATTTTAAAACAAACAAAAAACAAAATATAAAAACAAAAAGGCCAAGTTTTCTGAAGTAATACTACTACTACTAATACTACTACTGCTGCTATTACTACTACTACTACTAATAATAATAATAATTATTATTATTATTATTTTGTATTACTATTATTTTTTATTATTATTATTATTATTATTATGTTATTATTTTCATCATTTTTATAAAAAAACAAGCCAAAACAAAAAACTATAAAACCAGAAAAAAAAAGGCAAGATAATAAAGAAAAAATACATAAATTAATTCTCCAAAAATATTTAAAAAACAAATATTTTACATATCTGCAAAGTAACAGGGTGGTTAAATTTCTCATTCTCACACAAACACATGCAAAGCACATGAGCAGCTGTTTTGTTATCTGGCTGTTATTATTTGTGGGTATTCCTGTGTGACTAATAAGAGTTTATTACACAGCTAACCTCTGCTCCTTACAGCAGAGTAAATAAAATCATGAAATACCTCATGCCATCACAGGCATCCATATTAAATTTACCAGGAAGAGCATGCATATACGCAAACAGAAAAAACAGGGAAACATTAGAGATACTAAAGAAGTTACAGGTAAATTTGGCGCATACACAACAATGAATAAAACATCTCTTTATTTACATGATGTATTGCTTAAGTGCTGCAGAATTCGCAGCACTGCTTTAAACTAATACCCCAGAGGGCAACATTCACTCGCTTGCGCCTCCCAAACAGTGCTGTTGTAAAAGTCTAATGGAACGATCCCATCTGAATATAAATTGTGTTTGCATGGAATTGCGGAGGAGATTTTTCCTGAAAGTTTTGGTCCACTTTTTGCCACATTTCCATTCTTGCAATGCAGATTTGGGAGCAGAAAGGCTGCAGTGGAGGATTGTGGGATGGCGCTATTTAAATCACACGTTCCCATTCCCATTTGCTTTATTTAACTTACACTTAGGCGTAAACTAATAACAGCAGCTGTCAGCTGATATTACGAAAATTATTATTTCATCTGAGCTTACAATTTAGAGCTGAACTTCACTAAATATAGAAATTAAAACAAACAGAAGTAAATACAAGTCAACAAAACCTGAGCAAAAACAAAAATAAGATGTGCTCTGGAGTTAATAAAAAAAAAACAGATCAACGAAACCAGAAAAAATTATTATTCTTAAGAAATATGAAAACAAACAAAAGAAATGTAAAGACAACTGAAAATACACAAAACAAAATTCAACAAAACAAAAAATTAAGAAATGTTCATAAATAAAATTCAAATAAACAAAACACAAAACTAAAATCAACAAATTCAGAACAAAAACAATAATAAAAAGTCTTCTAAAAAAAAATGTAACAAACCAGACCAAAAACAAAATGTTATTCTTTAGTTTCTAGATTAAAACAAAAAATAAAAATCACAAAAAAATCGATGACAAAAAACAAACAAACAAAAAAAAAAACAATGAAAAACAAATAAGCCAAGTACTCTTAAAAAACTTATTTGAGAAATTAAAATCTTCAGAAATAAAGTGAAAAATCAACAAAACAAAAATCTAAATTTACAAGTATTCTGAAGTAAAATCAAAACAAAACAAAAGTCAACAAAACACAAATGCTAAAAAAGGCTAACACTTAGCACTAGCTAATGCATTTACTAACATGAATTACGTATGAACAACTTGTACAGCATTTAAAAATCATAATTCAACATGCATTATTACTAATGCATTATTGACATCCAAATTCATGCTTGTTAAAATTAGTTAATGCACCATGAACAAACAATGAACAACTGTATCTTAATGCTAAATAACATGAACAAATAGCTGTGTAAATGGATGGTTCATTGTTTGTTCATGTTAGTAAATGCATTTAACTAATACAACCTTACTGTGAAGTGTTACCAAAAAAAAACAAACAAACAAAAAAAAAAAAACAATAAACAACAAATATGCCAAGTATTCTAAAAAATAAATTCTAAAAAATACAAAAAAGAAAAAACTATTCAACAAAACCTGTATAAAAACAAATGTCAAGTATTTAAAAAGTAATATAAAAAAGTTGCAGGATAACACACACACATACACACACATAAAAAAAGCAAGTCTTCTGAAGTTATTTGAAAAAAACAAGCCTCCCAAAGCCTCCAACACTGTGCCTTTGTAAAAACCTAATGGAACAATCCCATCTGAATATAAATTGTGTTTGCGTGGAACTGCTGGAGTGTGCGCAGAGGAGATTTTCGGAAAGGGTCTGCCCATTTCCATCCTTGCATTGCAGATTCGGGAGCAGGGATGCTGCAGAGGGGGATTGTGGGACCGCACTATTTAAATGACACATCCCCGTTCCTACTTACTTCATTTAACACACACTTAGGCTCACACCAAGAACAGCAGCTGTCAGCTGGTATTATGGAAATGACTCTTTTCGTCTGAGCCTACAATTTCGAGTGAACTTAGTGGCGCCTGTAGCCAAGCGGAAAGTGAGAGAACACTAGGCAGAAGTTTCCATTTGCAAATGGAGGTGCGGGTCAAGCAGAGAGTGTGTTATTACAGGGCTTGCAGAGGATGGAAAGGCTGTTTCACTGGATCTTAATGCTGTGGGCTAAAGAGCAGTTGTAGATGCTAATTCGTATTCTAGGTTTGCTGGAAAGTGGTAAAACGAACAAAACAAGCCGCACACACATGAATGCGATTTAACGCACAACCCAAGGCTCTATGGGTATAAATGGAAAAGTTCTGACTTTAATGCGGAGCCTAAATTTAACACCACCTCAGCACCAAATGAGAGTAAACACTAGATTTGGTGAATATACAGTAGGTGAAATAAGTGTTCTTAGGGAACAATACTTCTAAAGGAGCTGTTGACATGGAATTGAACCAGATTTAGATAAAAACCCAAACAAAACAAACATAAAAATAAAACAGCAATAAAAATATATCTGAAAAAATAGTTCTGTGTAATAACAGTGGAATTACACAAGGAGAAAGTACTGAACTACTGAAATGTTCTTAATACTTTATATAAAAGGCTTTATTAGTGATGACAGCTTAAAGATGCCTCTCATATGGAGAGTGAAGTTAAATGCATTGCTCAGGTCTGAGTTATTTTTTTTACAGACTTCAACAGGGCGTAAAAATCTTGATGGTTCTGTGGGTCTCGTCGATCAAATCTGATTTTCTATTGAATTCAAGGCAGGTGATTGGCTCAGCCATTCTACAGCTTGATTTTCTTTCTTTGAAAGCATTTAAGAGTTTCCTTGGCTGTGTTTGGATCATTGGCTCCGTCCGAAAACGCCTACTACTCAGTAGGTACTGCAGTTGAATTTAAACGTACTACTCGGCCGTTAGAAAAGTATGTTCTATACAGTATAAATGTGAAAAGTATGAATGGAATTCGGACGTACTACATCCGCCATTTTGTCATGGTCACGTGACCTACCTGCGTCAGTTGCGTCGCCTCTCTTCCATTCATGATTTCTTTCACGGAGCATTATGGGATAGCGCAGCGTGCATGTAATTCGCACTGCAGAATCTCGCCGGAAGTAGTAAGTCATTCGGGTACTTCTTGCCTACTGATTTTCGAATTCTAGAAATTCGGACATACTACTCGGCTCGCATACTGATTTTAGCGTACTATATAGTGTGGAAGTATGCGGTTTCGGACGCAGCCATTGTCTTGCTGAAATGTCTACCCTGCTTTCATCTTCACCATCCTGACAATGTAGATGTTGGACTGAAGCAGCTATTAATTTACAATGACAAAGAGATTCTACTGAGAGATTTCAACAGCTGTCTGGGCTTTCGCTGCCTTTCTACAGCCCCCTTTCTTCATGTGTTCAATCATTTTTCCCTGTGTAATTTAATTTTATTACACATAACTTAATTTGTAAACAAATTAGATTTGTTTTCTTTGCATATATGGATTTCTTTGGTTGTTACCAACATCAGGTGAAACTTTCAAGTCAACAGCACCTTCAGAAATATGTTTTTTGAAAATGGTGACATATTTTCTCCCACTGTATGCACTGTAATAGTGTTACTCATTGGATTTATTAATTGTAATAATACTTAAGAATGTTACATTTTGCATGAATTATATAAAGGCAGTACAGTCTATTATGTGGCACATGTTTCACTGTGAACTCCATCTTTGCAAGTGTCAAGCCACTTGTAATGTGCATTTGAAAAGGGGCAAACTTGTTTCTAAGTGTGCAATGAAAAGGATTTTTAAATCTGTTATTAGAGAAAAGCATTTTCCAATAGTCATTTTCCAATAGATTTCCACCAAAAAGGAAAGCTTTTTGCTTTAAGCAAATGAAAACAAATGCAAGTATTATTTCTGTAAATGTATGTAAACATAAAAATATAATAACATGTTTAAAATAATAATAAATCTAATAACAACTTTAAAATATTATAGTGATAGTTTAACAAATGTTTATAATGTAACTACTTCTACTACTAGTACTATTACTTCTATTACTGCTACTGCCACTTTATTATATATTAATTAAGATTCAAATAAAGTTACATGAACTAGCAAAATTTATGAATCAATTAAATAGATAATTGATTAATAAAAAAACAACAACAACAAAAATATCATCATCATCATAAAAAAACAATAATAGTAATAATATTCATTTGATGATTTGCACGTGCCACTAACCTTTAGTGGGTACGGAAATATGTTAGTTTAATGTTTTTTCATAATAATTAAAATTGTATTATTTTGGTCAAAGTTAAAAATACAATGGGCATCATGCTAATTTTGATCTGATTCAACTAAACTATGACTAGCCACTCGTGTTATGCATAAACACAGACACCCTCACACACTCACCTGTTTAGCATGGTTGACACACTGCAGGTACTGAGAGGCGATGTTGGAGCACAGCAGTGTTTTCCCAGCATTTTCTCTGTAGCACTTCAGAATCTGCCCCTGAAGGTCGGTACATACTGGACTAATTTCATATCGCCTGAGAGAGAAAGAGAGAGAGAGAACAAAAAAGTACAAGAGAAGGGAAGGAGAGAAAGAAAAAAAACTGTCAGAGGACAGATAAATTTAGCAAATGAATGTGGTCATCCATCATAATTATATTTTCCATTTTTAATAAACTGATCCCATGGCAGTGACAAAGAGCCGTTAAATGATGCTCTTGCTGTGTTTTTAAAAGTAAACATCAGATCGATCACTGATCAATGGCGGAATTGATTGGTGCAGAATTAGTTTGCAGGATAATTGCGTGTTGAATCACAGTGCGATAGGTCTAAAGAGAGGCTACTTCAAGACATACATCAACTGTGGAGGCTGAACATCCTGAACAACACAAACGTAACAGAAAACAAATTTTATTGTTCTGGACAGGAAATTTGTTATGCGCATCATCATACTGCTGCAGACATACAATGAAAACAATACAATACAAAAATACAGCAGTTACAATACTAATAATGCTAATTAAGATAATGAATTAAAAATTGATAGATAACACCATATGGACAAATTGATGGATGCATGAAATGAGCAAATCCAAACTCCAATTGACTTGTGATGACGCATACAGTATTTTGTCAGATTTGGTTAACTTCTGGTGGCAAATGAGTCCCCCAAGTATAGCTAAGTAAATCCACCAACAGGATTAGGGTGCGCTCACACTATGCTATCCAAACCATTCGCAGGCACGTTCCTGGTTCGTTTGACAGGTTTGAGTGTTGCGAATGGGGCCTAGGCGTGGTTCGGTTGGCCAGCCCTGGCCTGATTGGAAGAGATGTGCCAAAGCACAGTTCGGTTGGGCTTTGGCCCGCGCTTGAGGCTGTAACTGACGGCCCGACATCGTCAGGTGCTCCCTCACTGAAACGCAAACACACATGCACACGCATGGTTTTGGTGGATTTGCCATTGGGGCAATGTATGTTAAAACTGCTTATATCCTCGTACACTAACCCTACCCCTAAACCAACCTCTTGCAGGACTGACCTGTTGCTAATTTTGAAAAAGACCCTGTTAAGTATCTTTTTCAACAGTTTTGAATTATGCAGGACATGTCCTCATAAACCACCTCAACATGGTAATACCAAGGTCATACCCAAGTCATCATACAAATTTACTCGTAAACCACCAAAATCAGTATAGACCATTTTGAGTGATGTAAACAAAAACAATGGTCCCAACATACTTCCTGTTTTACACTATTAATTTTTATAGCTTCAGAGAATCCAAAAAGAGCCACATATTGATAAATAATGTTATGACAGCTGTTAACATTAAGTCATGATTAAAACATTAAGTTAATAACATTAATAAGTCAAAAAATTAAGTTATGATTAAATTGTCTCCTGTTACAGTTATAAAATAGTTTAATAACAAGCAGGAAATGTCAATAGGCCAATGACATGAGCACATTGAAATGGTCTGTAGAAACCCACACACACTCCTACTGTACATCTTGGTGGGGACTCTTATAGACGTACATATTTGTATACTGTACTAACAGTATATTCAGTCTGCCTACCCCTAAACCCAACACTTACAGAAAACAATCAGCATTTTAACAATTTTCAAAGTAGGTCATTCTGTATGACCTCAATTTGGCAAATGAGTCCCCATGAGTGTTTGTGCATTCAGGTTAAGGAACCCACTGGGATATAAAACAAGTATACACACAAACCTCCATCTAAAGAAAATGCATTAAAAAAAAGAAACTAGGCCCAATAATTGGGCTAGTGTACAATATTTATCAGAATTACTAATAATCAAAAAATGCTTAGTGAAATTGATTGACTGATTGATTTGTAAAAAAGCTTCTACTTCTGACCTCTCTAAATGTTCCTGTTTGTCAACATTTCTTTTTAGCCTAGATAAAAGTACATTCCAATACACTAATAATATAGGTATGCAAATGTAATAAAATTGTGGAAGAAACTATGGTCACCATGTTGACAATTAGTAAGAAACACGTGTGCTTCACTGGAAAGTGCCTATACAAAGTGCCTTTGCAAACATTGCCCAGAATATCCCAAAATCTGAGGCAGACAGCATTGAGTTTCCTATTGGATTTGACAAGACCTAGCAGATCCCTATCAAAAACTCGTCTATCACCCAAGGTCGCAAAAATTTCCACCAAATATCATTTTGGGGAAAGATACAGAGGGTCAAGCCGGGCATATTGACAAAGACCACCCGGTTCCCATGAAATCTGAAGCCCAATGAAACATCACCTCTGTCCTTGGAGGATTAGAAGACACACACAAACTCTTCGTTTGACAGGGGTGACCTTTGGGACAGCAAAAAGCAAAGAAAGGATTGGGAGGGAGGGAGATGTTATCCTGCTCTCTTTTTAGATCAGACGAGGTTTAATCCGTGCTGTCATTCATATTAGCTGCTCTGAAGGGCAGATGAATGAAGGAGTGAATGGACGCCCGCTGTCAGTCACCATCGCAACTCTTTGGGTTCCCGGAAGGACTGGGGATTCACCCCTTTCTCTTTTCTTATCCATCTCCTCTGTATCTCCCTCTCCTCTTCTCAATCCGTCCACTCAAATACACACAGCTGCTTTTTAATCGCACACCATGTCCTTCTAGACTACTTCTACGACCATCAAGCATATACAAATAGTTTGAATATTAACTCATTAAAACTTCTTTGTTATTATTAACTATGTTTAGAATTATACAATGTTTTCAGCCAAAAATATGAAACTTTTTATAAATTTTGACTCTATTTCTACGAAAATCCCATTTTTGAGAAAAAAAAGTGGACGTTTTTGAAAATGCCTCTGTGGTTATGTTCGTGTAAACAATTGCAAAAGAAAGATTAAAATGAAATGAAAGAGGAAATCAAGAGATTTTGAAGCACCATTGATGTGATCCAAGACCTGTGAAGAGATGATGCCAACCATTAAGGACCTCAAGGAAAACTCAAACGAAGAGATGATGCCAACCATATAGGACTTCTAGACGTCTCAATAATCCTGGACCAGGCCGTATCCTGAGCAGATGCTGTGGTGGTCATGAAAGAGTGGAGCGCATGATACTGATTCCTGAAAAACCCAGTGACAGATGAGTCTCTGCATTGGTCCAGTGGGCCAGCCTGACCACCTGCCGGTGACCAACTCACACCTGCAGCTACTCCACGATAGATGTCCTGCATTCTCATAGACTGCAGCTCTGCACAAGAAGTTTGGCCAGAGGAGAAATGGTCATGCACAAATGACCCTGGTTCCTCTCTAGGTTTTTTTCTTCACTTTCGTCAATTGGTGAAGTTTTGTTCCTCGCCACTGTCGCCACTGGCTTGCTTGGTTTGGGATATGTGGTACTGCACATCGATGGATTTGCTCTTCAGTGTTTGGACTTTCTGCAGTAAAAATTAAACCACACTGAACTGAACTTCAACTTCAAATTATACATCGGAGACAGCGCCAAATACTTTGCCTGGTACACATAATATAGTGTTTTGGCCATTTTAGGTGATATATTAAAACGTGGATGTTTTTTTAAAAATGTTGTTGTGTTGATGTGAAACTTTTTTAAAATCCAAGGAAAAGTAATTTTGTTGTTTTGTGTAAACGTAGCCTTAGAGAACAACATACAATTTTTCTCCATTTCAAGGTCACTTAGTCCTATTTGAAGTATAAAAAAGTAAAAAAGCAGTTATTGGAAAAAGAAAACTGATGACATTATTCAGGTTACTCCCAGCTATTGGTGTTAATGTCCCCTGGTGGTGGTAAATTCCCTAATTATTGACAATCCTGGTTTAACTGACTGCATATCTTTCCAGTTTTCATTGACTTTACAAGATGGTAAATCACTCTTAAAATGACTGAAAATCTCTAACAACAGGTTGTGCAGATGAAAACCAAATGGATGACCCTTTCAGTCATAGCAAAAGAAGCTTTTCCCCAAATCTGTGATTTCTGAAACACTGTATCTTTACAAACACAAGGTTTGTTATTCAAACCCTGTCATCTGAGCTTTTAACCAGCAACTGCTTAGTGAATAAAATATCCACACATCAACGCATGTGAATGGCACCTTCACCATCTCTCTCTCTCTCACCATCCACAGATCAGGCATCAAAAAAGCAGGACAGCTCTATAATATCATAGGCGTGTATATATTTATTTATGTCTCTGCGTAAATCCCTCCGTCCAGCTGAAATGGTTTTTGGAAGAAAAGAAGTAGATGTGGGTCATAAATCACAGCGAGAAAGCGCTCGGACGACTGTGACACCAAGAGCTGAGAGAGACGCACAGATATGAGATGCTTTATCACGGAAGAAGTGAGAATAGAGAGCAATTCGGAATGAAAGACAGAGAAAGGACAGAAAGAAATGCTCGAAATGATCCCATCGGTGCTGGTTCAACCTACACCAGTGCATGAAGGACTTACAATACTATAGGTGTGCCGGTCTGTAGAGGATTTTAGACAAAAGGCACAAAGACGACCTTCCATCTGCATTCAGCATATTAAAATACCACCACACATTTCTCAAATGCTCTAAATTCCCCTAAATCAAGACTGATGAAATATGGTCCCGCCAGCATGGCGTAGTTAAGTCTGGTGTCTTACAGTGGGTCTCAGATGAACTCAGATCTCTCTCTTAACAGACATGTGACTATCCGTCATCATTATGAGCACTCGCAGTCTAGCGGGGTGAAGAGGTTAAGCGTCCACTTCTGAAAAAAACGCATGTATGTTCATTTAGGAACTGACGGCGTGTGTGACAGGCGGACAGAAATCAAAACAAATGAAGCAGTTACGAAGAAAAATGATAAGAGCTCATTTTCGGCGTTTTTAAAATGCGATCCATCAGCGGCACACAGAACTCGCATCGTCCCATTACCTACCGGGATGGAAGGAATAGTAGAGAAATTTCTTTTTGGGATAAAGAAGACGAGCAGAGGTTAGACACCAGGGTGAGAAAGGCAAGGGAAGACAAAACGAAAAGATGAAGGGGTGGGAGGGAAGATAAGAGAAT